CTTTCGTCCACTTTTAGGTATTAATTTGTGGATCTAAATGAACAAATGGACCATTGGAAAAGCTGCAGCCACTCGAAAATGATTGATTACATCGGTTGCTTCATCCTACTCTGCTGTATAGAGCAAAGGTAGCAATTATGCCGATCAATGTACATGCGGTTGGAGCTCTTGATAATGTGTAAGAGGCATATTTATGTAACTACCATTAGAATTTCTATAAACAAAATTTAGTGGTATGAAACCAAATCCAAATTTTTCTCAATTCTATACTCATCTTTCATATCTTACTTTCTTTTCTGGTGTGTGTTTTTTTTTTTTTGAATGGCGCATCACACTTGCGTAATGTACTTATATAAAAATGTAAATATAAATATAAATCTAGCTTGAATTAGGTTAGAGGGCAGGACAAAACATGTCGCTCTTCAGCAAAGGCTTACAATAAAGATAACGGAGTTTGAAGAAGTTAGAGATCAATTGGCTCAAAAACGAATGAAGTGCTAGGCAAATCGGAGTGGGGCAACGATAAAATGCCCACCTGACCGTAGTACACTGTATTACCTTTCTCAAAGTATTATAGTATCATTAATTCTCTCCCTACGAGCGGTCCTCCTACACTCACACTCAATGTGCGATCGGCAGGCAATACATTTGCGCGAGCTAGCGACCGACAGTGACCTTTATCTTATGGGGGGGGGGGGCGGAAAAAAATTTTCAAATGAAGGTGCGTGGCTGACGCCACGCACTCCGAAAAACTTTTAGGCCCGTTCTCAAGGGGGGGTGGCGCCCCCCCCCCCCTCTCGGTACGCCACTGCAATGAGCCTCCCCCCTCTCGGTACGCCACTGCAATGAGCCTATGTGAGATATGCTAAGGTAACCAAGAGTGGTTGTGGGCTTCTTCGTAAAGATTCGGCCGATGCTGCAGCGACCGATTCAGTTTCTCATGATGTTAACAGGACTGACATGATTCAGAGAAAGAATAGTCAAGGTATTTCTGGAAAAAAATAACCCTGACAACAAGCGAGCGACCTTCCCCGCTCAAGCGGCGAGCAGTAGTAACCGTGGCGCCCACTTTAACCGTACAATCGGCCCTTGACCACCGTACAATCGCATACACCACAGAGAGTAAGATAATCGTGGCCGCCCGCACGGCGTGAGTCCCTGAGAAGATGATTATTCCATGTGAGAAAGCCAAAACTCCAAAAAACTGCCTAGCAAATTCAGCATGCGTGACAAACCTGCCACACAGTCTTCCAAGTTTTTTAGAAAATTGTTCAAATGGCCTATTTTGCAATGGCGTTGTATACTGGAAGTTCCTGCAGTAATGTGAAAGCGATGGGTGACTGCTTTATACAGTCTAAGTTGAAGCCAGCTTTACTGCATAATACCCAAAAATCGGAAAAGACTTTGCAAGAATGGAGAAATTAACTTAACTATCAGAAAGTATGTATAGTCCGTGTCAACCTTGTGTCCCCTTTTCCACCAACCAAACTCCCATGGCCTCGCGTTGCGTAAGCGCGCGTACTGCTGCGCATTCAAAACTCACTTAATCGATCGAGGTCGCTGCGCCCTTACGCCGCGTAGCTGCTACGAAAAAGGAAGCACCTGAATTGACATCGATTGCATGACTTTACAGACTCCTTGTTTGCCTCTTAGACCGCGCCTGGGGAAGAGTCCGATCCTTTGGAGGATGATGCCACGCACCCTGATCGTGAGGTTGTGGTTGGCGCGAAAGTCCTCGGACATTATATTTAGATAAAACTTTTTTTATCGATTAAACGCTGATTGAGGGAAGCTGCATGTTGGAGAGAAGAGAGCACTCTCCAAAGAATTTGGATAAGCACAAGCATTAAGAATGTTTTCTATGAAAATTCAGGAGAAAATTCCAAAGCATAGGGTTTTGACCTAACCCAGATCTCCAACTTCTACAAACGTTTTCGTCCCACATGCTCTTGTATACACTCTTTGATTCTAGGGATTGGCGGCCGAAATGGGCGGGGCCTTATCAAGGCAAGGGAGTGATTAAAGGCACCGCCCACTTAGATTCTCGTCTTCCAAATTTTGTCGTTTCAGGGCCTTCTCATGTCCCCGATTCCGAATATGAAATCGAGAATCCGCGAAAACCCCGACAATCACCGTTCCGGAGAACCCACAGGTCGGCTTTCCGGTGATTGGATGGGCGCGCACAAATGGGCGGGCATGGATGGGGGTCCTCGTGCATCTTCCTTGTTCCGGAGCGATTTTCTCGCTTTCCAAGCGACACTTTGCACTGCGACTTGGGCATTGGCTTGATAGGAGGCCCTACTATCATATGCTGCCAAAAGCTTAAGACCCTCAACTCAGGGTGAACGATGCCTTTAAAGCACGCTCGCGAGAGAGACGCAGTCTGCGTCACGTCTGCGAGCGGTGGCCTTCCACCCGCCATCCCGACGAATTTAAGGGTAGCACACAGTACATACTTACATACTTACATGCATAGTTTCTGTGCAATTTGAGCAACAACAAGAAGAATGAAATAATGGAAAGTAGATCTCCACCCCTATTGGTCGTAAGCTTCACCCACGTGCTTAAATATCAGCAACAGGCGAGGAGAGACAGCTGCAAAATTAGGAGCATGTATTAGGCTGGAAACCAAGTTTTGCACTTTTTTCAATAACTTCCCTCTTTCAAAAAAAAAGCGCGGTCAAATTTTGCCATTTTGTAATTATGACGAAAGCTACTAGCGCTGCCAAATCTGTCAAGTTCTGACGTCGCAGTAAGGGTTACGGTAAGCATACGGTATAGATGGAAAATCATAATTTTATAGATTTGGCTGAAACTCGACATAGGAGGGAGGGGGGGGGGGGTTATCCAACATGCTGATCACGAAAACGATACTGAATTTGCGTGCTAAGGGCTTTTTTGTTGGATAAATGTAGATTTATGGTATATAGTCTCATCCTTAACAAGAAAAGAGGCATTCATTCAACAAATGGATATGATGATCGTGTTTGGCAGGCCAAGTAACCCCACTATGTAAACTTTCTGCGATTTTTGAGGTTCCGGCTCCTTGACCGTTTTCCCCAGCAGCCTTGCGACAGCGACTCGTTTGATTTTGTGAGGGCTCCAAATCTCGACCTGCCTTGATTTTTACTTCTTCCTTACTGTGCCGAATGAGTCAATCTCTAGCAACAACTCAAACACATGTCCGGATTATTGTGCATGGTCTAGGCTGCTAACAGTTTCATTTTGGCTTATGATCCCAAAAATTCTCGAAAATGACTAGATTTCAGAAATGACTGAGATTTTATAAATTCGTGTTTAGAACGCAAATAATTTGTGCTCAGGTATAGCACACACTATGCTCTACATACTGTCAAGTTTGAATGCGCCACATTCAAAGAGAGTAAAGTCATAAAAGAAACAAAACTTAATTTCCAGCCTAATATATGCATTAGGTTCCGAAAAATAGCAGATTTAGTCTGTAAATGTCTAGAACTTTTGAGATACATGACACGAAGCTTGACAAATTGCCCCGTTATACTCTTCACAGTAATTTCTTGTTGTTTATGATAGGTGAAAGAGGTCGGGGCAGAACCTCACAACAAATCGTTGGCTCTACTAGTGGGCAGAACACCAAGATAATTTCATGTACAAAGGTCCGAGTTCTGGCACTTTGTCCTCTCCTACAAGATACCTATAGCGACCAGGCCAACCTACCATACGCAGTGAGGTTTCATAAGTATCAAGATTTGTCATTATCAGAAAGAGCAATTGAAAAAAGTACGTTTTTTCCCGAAAATCCCGACTTTTACTATTGCCACAGGAGTACTGCTTCAGACTCCTAAAAAATTGGAAAAACAAAAAAATTCAACCACAAAAAGGTAAATTATGTCGTGTGAAGTGTTTTCTATCGAAGCAGCAAATCTGTCGAATATGAAGATGGATGATACCACTACTACTAACATTTGTCCGTTGCAAGAGAAACTCCGAAAGAACTAAGCTGTCCCGATCATACATGACGATTCATTCGGAACCAAGATTGTCGCTAGCTCAACTCAAAATAAGGCAAACTTTAAGCAGGAAAGGTCCGGCCTAAAAAGCATAAGCAAAAACACAAACACTAGCACAAACTTCACCAACATCACAGCACTATATTCAATATTTATAGTAAGTAGAGAAATGCTGCAAAAAAAATCCATCTATGTAACTATGTGAGCGCTTAAATGATACGACTAGTCACAATATTGAAGTAAATTGAAAAAATTACAGAAAGTATGCTATAAACAAGGTAGTGCTGCTACTGTGCATATGCTGCAATCGATAGATCAATAGTGGTCGATGTAACGAACGTCGCTACCGCCATTATATTGATCCAAACTGAAATGGGTATAACAACACTAACCGAAGAAATAATGACTGCAAACAAGTTGATGATGAATTATGCAAACGACATTGCAAAATTTCTTCTTCACTGATGACAGAATGAAAAAAGCCACAACGATTATGACGATCATCAAACCAACAAAGCTGGTCAGTTCAACACATACAGACAGAATGCATGCTTTAAGGATCCACAGAGATAAATTCTGGAAGCTGCGGTAGAAAATCGAGGGGAGCAATGCTATTGGTCAATTGCTGGAAGGGGCGTGGCCAGCCAATAGAGCAAAGAAAACTCGATTATTGTAAAAATGACAACTGAATTCCACACAAGCCTGTCTGACCACACTCCTCAAGCACGCATCGGGATAATTCCGCCTTCTCGCAACAAACAGCCGCGGATAGGATATTTCTACCTAGGTGTCGCGAACGCCATGGAAAGGAAAGCTATCTAAGAAGGAAAATATGCTCGTCATGCAGGCTGTCCTATAATTTGGGAAAGTGCACAGGTTTGCTAAATTTAGAGGCCATTAGTAGGAAGTTTTTTCAAAAGAGAAGATGTAAAGGACCACTGGACGCAAGCGCATGAACCCATGGCGGAAGGAAAGGAGAAGCAGATTCGTGCAAAATAAACTTGCAAGCCTTGAAATTTGATCAATATGATCTTGATTTTGTTAAAAAAAAGGGCACCGGCAAAAAAAGACCAGAGCATCCAGAAACTTCTGAATGGAACCCATAGCAAAGTTCAAGATGCAAAAGTCAAAATCCTATAATTCACCAGTAAGTAAAAGCACGATAGTAAAGACAAGCACATTCACAATGCAGAAAAGAAGTTGAGTTTCACCATACAAACAAACAAACAACACATAGTGATAGTGCACATCAGATTGTTTGAAAGGGTTAACATGAAATCTCATTGCGCTAAGTAGATCATTAACACACAACATTGAAAAATTCACCGTAATCGTCATTTACAACAAGATTCTGGTATCAGATCGTGGAAGAAGAAAGAATATGAGAGGAAAAATGTGATAGGTGTCACATTTTCACTACCAACATAGGATCCAGGCGTATCTCCGTCATATACTCTCCGTTTGGACAATTTGGCTCGCTAGAATTGCAATTTGCCAAACTGAAATCGGTAGACACAAAAGAATACAGCCAGAAACAAAGCATAACATGAACTATGCACAAACACGACAAGCAGAAATTAGCAACTACCAAGCTGGGTTCCCATTGAAGGACTTGCAGTAGCTGAACATAGGTAAGCACTGAAAAAAAACAAGGTAAAAAAAGGTTAGAAGAACCGATGTGGAAGTGATGGGATAGCAAAGACACTGTGCCAAATGTGAGTTTTGTAAATGCAGTGTTGAACATAACGTCCAGGCCTTCTGGATTGACGATTGGGGGTGAACAGCTAATCATCTTGATTTGGACGATGATGACAATCCGTTGCTAAAAGTACAGGTTAACACTGCACGCAACACAGCAATGCAAGTGGAAATAATACATTTGCGTTGAGCAAAAATAAAATGTCATGCAAGCGAGTTGAGGTGAAAGTCTAGAATGGAAAAAGTAGTAAAGCACGCCGAACGCTAGTCAAGCAGGCTGAGCATACAGGCAATACTTATACTTTGTATTATTATAGTGTTGAGCTGACCAGATGTCATGTGAGAGCCATTTTGAGCCAGGTAACAAATATATTCGTAATTTGAAATCAGATATGTGTCAGCCAACTCTGCTAAGGAACTTACAATAGATTGGTAGTTAAGCGGCCTAAAAAGGCTTTGGCAATCTCTCATAACCTTAATCATAGAAAGAAATGTATTTGGCCATATACTTGGCTAAAGGGGTCATGTACCTCGTTGCGGACAGCATTTGCGCGCAAAGAAATGCCCATGGAGAGCGAAGTTTGTAATTGTGAGTTTTGTGGCCATTTTGAGAACAAATTGTGCATCTATGGCAAGCGCCATGCTTGATCCTCTAGATCCGCTTGATCCGATTCATCCACTTCAGTATTGGTCACATTAGTGGACTGACCAACCGCGAAGTGGATCAAGTGGATCAAGTGGGTATCCGCTTCGCTACTGGTCAGTTCACTGATTTGACCAATAGCAAAGTTGATCAAATGTTTCAAGTGGATCAAGTGGACTAAGTACGGCGCGTGCCTATGTGTTTACGCGCAAGTGCTGTCAGCACCATGCAGTACATAAAGCATCAATACTAAATCGAAATAATGTGATTACGGTAGCGCAATTTAGTCCAGTATATTGCGCCTTCCGTTTTTTGGATTCTAAGCTTATAGAGATGGGGGTTGAAGGCTTAAAGGACTACAGAGCCATACAATATAAAACACAGTAGGGCTGTCAACAAGCCCACAGACAAACGACGCATCGGGATAAAGGATTAGCAGTCACATAAATTACCCCCCCCCCCCCACTCTCCTCCTTCTCCTGCCCTGGCGCCTCTTTTTAGCTTGCACGCGTTCAAAGGGCAGATCTCCACCTAGCGATGAAAGGAATACAAACCACAGCGGAGTAGTTGGAGCTCTCCTCGGGAAAACAAAGGATTTACGGTACTTTGGGAATAAATCGGGATCATACTGATGTTCTACCACAACACTTCTACCCTAGATTCTATACATATACTCGCAAAACAGGTAAGCTACAGCGTCATGCAGCACTTACCACAGAGAGATGCGCCCGGACTATTCAAAAATAAATAAAAATTACGAAGCTAGTCAATTCCTAGGTCCATTGTCATGGATGATTAGTCACCGCTTCGGTGGCAGTTCACAGCACCGCGATCGCTGGCCTTGCATGATAAAGTCGTACCATTTGTACATTACCGTCTGGGGGGCTAAAACTGGTATCCCTAACTGAACAATTCAACTCAAAGCTCAACCAAGGAAATGTATGCTCTAAAACTAGATAGAGAGGGATAAGATCCAGCTCTATCCAGTTCAAAGACATTTAAAAAACTTTAATTGCCTAAAACATGATTAATTTTCATGATCTGTTTTTATAACCAATATAAGCATCCCAAAAGACGCGTACCGGCATAATAGCTTCACCATCATAAAGCAACGATTGAAAGTCTTTTAACGACATACTATCTAAATTAATTTACCAGAGAAATTGTGGCGCGAATGAAGGCCAGTGGGTAGTACGGATAGCAAAGGGATAGATCAGAGAAGAACTGTATCCTCGAGTCGTCGACCGCACCAACTGGCCGTAGACTGCGGAGCACGCGCCGCACGGCCGCGGCCGAGCGCATGTATCAATACAAACTGCTGTTGTAAAAGTCGTGTCTCGTAACATTTCAGCCCCGCCGCGCAAGCTACGGCCATTCCGAAGCGGTCAACAACTCGACAGTATCGTTGATTCGTTGACCGTACGGAATGCTCAAATGGGACAGTACTACGACTACGCGCGGCGCGAATAATATGTTGCGAGAGCGCGATTTGTACAATGGCGAACTTGTACTGGGGCAGGCGTTTTACCTCGCGACTCGTGCTCCATAGTGACGTCTAGTCCGTGCTGTCAACGACTATACATAAAACAACGACAATAAGCAAAGGTAGCCATTTGAGGTCTGGTCGACGAGAACGCATTTTTACAGAAAAAAATGTGAGAGGGCCTAGCCGTTTCTTGAAAGGAGTGAAAGCGCAGTTTGAAACTGGTCTACAAAGATGATAGCAATGGCACGGGGTTCTACTGCTGCAAGCACAGGTAAACAGAGTGTGGTGGATCTGATGGGTGATATAGTGCCACTGCTTCTTCAGCAACATTTGCGCGTAACAAGTGGCCATAAAGCTGTGAACTGTAAGCTGTGCGCTAGATGGGCATTTCTTTGCATAAGTGCTGAAGGCATTGCACTGTACCACCCCCAAGATCTACTTATTCTTTATAAACAGAACATTGAAGCAAAATTCTTGTACATCTGAGGAAAGATGTAAGCAGTGACCGTGGCTGCACATCGTGACGCTGGCCCAAAAATCACTGTAGTCCAGGAGAAAAATACTGAGATATGATAAAAAAAAATTTGGAGGATAAAAAAATTGACGAGATCAAGAAGTTCGATAAATTCAAAAAATTGCAGATCAGAAATCTCTCAAACGTATAAGAACACTTGATCCACTTGCGGAAGTATAGATCTAAAGGATAAAGTTTAACGCATCGTAGTAAATCCAGATCCTGGAGGCCACAACTCGTGGACAGAGTTTCCGCAGCATTCCATAACATGTATAAATATGAACTACATTTACAACCACGATCACCGCAAGCTTGACTCAAACGTAATGTGCGCTTCTAGTGGGACAACAATTATTGATTGTACAACACAAGGATGAGTAATTAGAACATTTTCATTTGAAGTTACAACCAACTTTGTATAGCCAACAATGGACAACATGGACAACTACACGTACTTCCTTTCACCAATCACAAATGCATGCTTGGAAAATGGGTGAAAATGGTTTTTTGAACATGAAAATTTTCAAGATCGACGCAGTTAATACGCGTAAATTGAAGCAATATACCGTGAAACCCGAAAACGTGGTAACGCCACCTTTAGTGACCACTTATGTGTTATCGAAGGATACGCTTATCAAAAATTGTTATCAAAGCAGCGATAATGTTAGATGCAACACTGAAAGTAGGCGAGTACTCACAGTCGTTGATTAGCGGACGGATCTTGTTCATTAGTAACTGTGAACGAGTGAGTTGCTGTAGTTACAGCTGGATTTACGTCTGTTCGCTTCTCCATCCTGGAAATGATTCAAGTTCGAAATCCACAATTTATAGAAAAAAAATCAAAATCTCAAGAAAACATAAAACAGTTTTTGTCTAGTGTTTGTGTCTAGTGCAAATGGGAAGCACGATAATGACTAGTTCTTTGACTTCCCGTACCTGATCAAACCAAAGTCATTCGGTGGGAGGCAAGAGGGAATTTCACGACGCTTGAACACTTCAGCGACGAAGAGCGCCTGAATGTGTTACATAACCAACATTTGTAAATAACGGATATCTAAAAAAAATTCTGCACTAACAGAGCATAACGCACCGTGAATATTCCAATGGTGCTTCCAATAATTGCCCCAACAAGTACATCAGACCAATGATGTTTATAATCGGATACCTAGTAAAAAAGCATTCCACTAACAGAAAAGAATAAAATTGAAAAATCAATACCAGCATAAACTAAGAATTTAAATCAGTGATATATAACCTACTCGAGTAAGAGCAACATAGGCAGCTCCTCCGAACAATGTGAACTGGATCACTGGCAGTAATAGGCGAGAGTACAACGGTCGGTAAAGACGAGCTTGCAGATATAACTAAAATCCAAGTTTGACAAACAAGCTCACCAAAAAAAGAAATAAGCGATTTTTTCAAAGCGTACCGAAGTGAACCAAGCTCCATAAAAGCTGAATGCTGCATGTCCAGAATAGAAGGACAACATCGATTCTTGGATGAGATACGCATTAGGGCCTGTGCAGTTGAAATCGGTGATGTAAAAGTCTGGATTCTTGCACTGGAAATATATAATCACTATTTAGAACTGCCCAGGCACCTTTTCTACACCATACTTCAGTGTAGCCAACATTAGGTCGGCAAACGTCCATGAAATGTGGCCTCTGACGACCGATTGTGTACTTTGCGATGTCTACCATAAGCTGATTGAAGCAAACACCCAAGAAAAAGTAGCCTAAAGATCATGTTTTAACTCTCGTGAAGACTTCCTTGGAACTTACCAATGAAGCAGTATAACCGGACAACCAGGCGGTGTACATGGTGATGCCTCAAGTGGTATGTTTTGAACTGATCAGCACACTTCCTCTCCCACGCCATTGTTCGAAAGATTTCTGTAGCGAGTATCTGAAATTCAACAGGAGTTAATTAGACTAGGACGGCCCCTGAAGTTTTTTCTTGAATGAGTTTCTTCACATTCGTAGATAGCCGGTATCTTCCTAACACAGTAAGGATTTATTTCGAAAAACGCGAGATTTTTTTTCTTCAAAATAAACCGCATTCACAATAGTACCATTTTCGTGAGACTAACGAATCCATGTATATGCCTATGGATTGATAGAATAAACCGCACAAATTACGACTAAATTTGTTGTCTGCATAGGGCGCGATGGAATATAACGTCTTCTATAGAACATATTAGCAAGAAAAAGAAGGGCTCAGCAAACTTTCCACCAGAGATGAGGATACATGCGGACACAAAAAAAAATGATTGAATTTAACTCGCTTTGCCGCAGTCGTTTTTGCTAGGCTAGGATCAAATGCGCGCTGGAGACAACCAATGATCTGCTAAGTTACGATCAAGATTCATAGCGTTTTACAAACTTCCTTGAGAATCTATCTATCTATCCGAAATTTCATCTGAATCTGGAATTTTCATGCGGAGATTTTGTCTATACTGATTGTATACGCGCTTCGCGACTTTGCAGAAACGATAACATTAAACAAAAATGAGATTCTTCTCTGAATTCTGTACATTTTATTCACAATTTTCGCCCCTCAAAGCACTTCTAAAATCTCAATTGGTAGTCCTATAGTGACTCAGAGTCCATCTCATTCATATTTCCATTAACCGGTTTCACCCAATGATAAAAGGAAAATCAGTGGGCAAATATTCTAAGTAACAGCGAGACTGGAAAAATACTCTAAGGCAAATTCAGATGTCGCAGTTTGCAGAAAAATTGAGAAGCCGTTACAAGACACGAGGAAACCATCAAAAGATATTTTTGTACATCACGGAAATTTGAAAACATTGAATGGACAAAATACCCACCAAAGCTGTCGGTACCAGCAGACCGATTACGATAAGCATATGCCGAGTTACGGTCGAGTCACGATATGGATAGCGAATAGTTTCGTCATCACAATAGAACCCTCGTTTGTATGGTTTCACCCATTCGTGGAATATTAACAAGGGTATGGCTGGAAATCACTTCTTTAACTACGTAGTACAGAGAATGAATAAATCTACTGACCGCAGCACAGCAGGACTAAGAAGTCGCATACTATACGTGATATACGAATCTTGTCCGTCATCGCGTTTTCTGCGACCCCAGCTGCGGGCCAAGCACGCTCCTGGAATAACCGTGCATATACTGCATTCATTTATATGCGTTCAATTCACGATTAGAAATATTCGCAGGATTATTTGACATTTATTATGAAAAAAAGAAACATGCACGACATCGTATAGTACAAAAAATTCATGGAAAATGAATGAGAAACGAAACATCAATCTCACATTTGACACAAACGTGATTGGCTTCCGTATTGAGCTTCTTGATATTGAAAGATGATTCTGGATCTGAATGCTAGTCCACTAAAATGAGGAATGAAGCCTCTAGCAAGTAATCTGCGCTATTAGTGGGAACAAAGACTTCAATAAGGCATAAAAATGGAAAGTATTACTTCCTAAGAACTTCAGGCTTTACTCAGAGCCTGTCCTGCAAAAAGTCTTTTTCGAAAAAGAACTTAGGAAAAATCATGTGCTGAGAATGATGCCTTCAATCATGAAATTACTGCCTGCCAGTCTTGACTGAGGCGAAAGCCCAAAAATGGCGAGTCAATATCCAAAGTACTAACCCAATCCTCGTCACGCCTTTTTCCCTTATTCGCCGCACAGAAAAGAATTTCCCGATATTATGTCAGCAAAATTAATGCATCGCCCCTACTTCCAAAGCAAATTAAATTAATGTAATCGTTTTGATAGATTGCTTGGTTCGAATGCATTCCATTCGATGATTTCTTTGCGTGACAGGAGGTAAACAATGCGACAGAAGTCATAGAATGGTCAGAAGATACAGTACCCTAAAAATGAAGAAAACGTTTTGAAGTACTTGAATAATAATTCTCCCCTGCTGGATGTTTATCAACTGACTCATTTTCACAGAACAGATTTCGCAGTCGTTGCACCTTTTGCCACAGTCTCCGGTCGTGTCCGACAGGGCATTCGTGGCGGGACCAACTAGCGCTTTTACTGCCTTCCGTCCTTTGCATAAGGGAATGTCCGCGAAGGGAGGCGTAAAGGGGACTGTGACTTTTGCAACTGCGGAGATCTTATCCTATTCATGACACTGCAGTTGATATTTTTATCAGGAAGTCACATACGACTGCAGAAAAGATCGGTTATTTGTAGGTTCATTTCGGCAGTTCTTGCGTTTTGGTGTCTTCCCTGAACACAGAACTAGAATTGCTGTGAGGACATTCTGTTCTATTTTCAGTTTTGTTCGCAGCCACTCCTTTGCACAACCGTTGCTACACTGACCACTAAATATCGGAATCGACAAGGGAAACGTCTTTTTCTTAGAGCGGCATTTATAGTTTATGAACAGGACTTTTGCTTACTTTCTTCATGCAAAATCGTTTCCTAGGTGGTTTATTTATGAAAGACCATTGTATGTGTTAATCGAAGAAAAAAACTGCTTGTTCAAATTCCCATACAGTGGTTTACGTTACGCTTCGGCTCATTGTCAGCATTATTATACGTGTAGTACTAGTTTGTCTATTTTTACTTATTGCAGAATGAAATATCACAGAATGTGACATAAGAGGGCCTTCGATCTCTTTTCAGCGACTTAAAGTGATGAAACTTTGAGTTTCTTCCTTCAGCAAGATAAGGGGGAAGGCACCAAACAAACTGCCGTTTTCAACTTATCACTCCCATTGTGCAATAACGAAACTTTGTCACTCAGATGTCATTTTATTAATTTAATATCCTGCATTAGGTAGCCGAAAACCGCTGTGTGGATGTAGGCAGGTCTTTCTCTGTGGACACTCGGATAACTAGAGGCATGCATCATTTCACTGCGAAAACGTTTACTTGCGTCTGCAATAGATAAGTCCGATGGGAAAATAGATCCTAGATAAGCTGGACCACAACTTTTGCCATCGTCGCTTCGTTATGCCTCATTTTCACGTTTTTACATCAAGTGGATCTCTTTTAACGATGAGTGGTGGAAAACTTCTGCAAAGCATGTGAATTCGGAGGTAAAGAACTTTAGAGCAAGACCTATTCATATCCTAGTAAAAAAGCGCTTAGACCATATTTCGTTTGCTGTACTGCCTAGACACAACCCTGGACTACCAGAATCTGTGCGGAGTGCATCTGTTTACGGTATTTGCGATGGAGCAAGTGTGAAGATAGCCAGAATTGTTTTGACTGTGTTCACATGAGGTGGATGCACTTTCACAAATAAGTGAACACAAGTAGTTTAAATAAGAAGCTATGACTGTTGAGCTATCTCGAGCAGCAAAAAAGCCTTGAGAGGAGTGATGAAAGCAATGACTGAGATTTAGATACTTTGTTGATCTTTACTGGCGCTACTAATCTCCTTCATATCAAACCGCTCAACGATTTAATTAAAACACAGAATGCTGAGACGAGTTCCATGCATGATTATGCTACGAAGCGCAACAAGTGTCCCAAGACGAATGCCCTGTCAAAGGAGACAGGCTACTGTAGCAAACGGTGCAACGACTGCGAAATCTGTTCTGTCTCACTTTCAAGCAAATAAACCGTAGGTGCTATGTATATGACTGTATTTAGATAAAGTCGACGTTCTGTCCTATTTTTTGGCCTCATGGAAGTATATACTACATTTTCCTGTTCAATGCGCTCCATATGTTGTGAAAACATTCAAAAAACGATCCAACACCAACGAGATTACTTACAAAATAATGAAAGTTTAAAACTGATTATTTATCATCCAACCCTAGCAGTACCTATAACAATGGTAACAACGGTGCTGTAATGGGTAACAGCAGTAAGGCCAAATCCGTAATGTAATGCAAATAAAACAGCAGTCAAACTAACTTCCCTTTCCAAAGTAAAAAAATTTGAGATGCAAAAAATTCAAAACGCACCTTTTCCAAAAACGACCTCATCAGTGGCGCACAGCGATAAATTAACTGAAGCTAACCAAGATTTGAAAAAGATGTTACTCTCCATGTTTAAACAAGTACAACAAGCCAAAACATAGCAAATACGCGTAAGATCATCATTGAACGCCGAACAACAGAATGAAATTCAAGTTTCAGCTCGATCAAACATGTTAGCGCGAAAATGCGCATGAATCACAAATGGCGAGAGAAGAGGATGAGCTGTCTGGTTTTCCGCGCAGCGTTTGTACTTTTAAGATAATCCCCTATCAAAAACATCCAACGTGAATTCTGATGCAGAGGAAAAAAAGAGAAATTCGCAAAAAACTCTGAATGTTCAGCGGGACTGCACTCATTGTCTAAGCCGATTATAACAGAAATCATGATCGCATGCAAAATCAACGTGAGAGAAAAAATGTTGACAGCAGGAACAGACGCACTTCTTTTGTATGCATTTCATTGTCTCTCATGTAATAACCAAAATGCACTCAGAACGCGCCACAAACAAGTATTTCAAGCTCGCACAAAACTCGCGCACTTTTCTGCAAACAAATGGTTGTAAGAGGAAAGGGCAAGATCATTATTTTCTTCTCATTTCAATCTAGTCTTTCTTGCGTGGTAAATTTGACTGACTTTCTGTTTACCTTAAACCGCTTATCATAGTTTGATAGAGATAGCAAATAATGTGATATTTTCATGTCCCTTCTTTGGCCGGAGCTAAGATGGCATTTTTGAACAGCCAGGGTAGTAATGTTGTAGTGCCATCATTTTCGTTAGAGCCTTATTAGCCTTCTATAAAATGGTTTGAGGAAGCCCACCAAGAGCAGGACCCAGTGCTAGTAATGTATAGGCGGTTCATAACACGCAAAGACTGGGCGCCATTGCGTCCGAACAAAATAGTTCATGCATGGGAGAGGCAGCAGATGGTAAGAGGAACTAAATAGCGCCCGATCAAAGAGACGCCGGTACGTCCGCAGTCTTTGCGTGCTACGAAGTGCCGGTAGCAACACTCTGACATTGTTTGGTGGCCTAGCTCAATTCAGTTCAAAGAAAACTGCTGAGACTTCGGCAGTGACAGCACCGAAAACGCTAACCTCACATATAAGTTGCGGTTGAATTCGACTGACCCCACCTCTTCTTAGCAGGCTGACTATCCCGTGACGGCACCGACACACGCTGACTAATAAAATGACGTAGTCCAGCCCAACTGAGATTTATAAAAAAAAAAATCGAGCTTCCGGAGATGGATGCATCAAGGACTTAACACTATCTGCAAAGGAATGTGCGAAAATGGGGAAAATGCAAAAATGTGAACCTACTGCTCGTTTTACACTTCACTTTAACAAGCAGTGGTGGAAAATGCACTCGAATGCAACGAATGCATTACGGCAATTTCATCCGCGAACAACAAAAACCCACTCAAACTCACAAGCATATCGTTGCAAAAAAGGTCGTCTACTTTGTGACTGTTGTTATGGAATAGAAGAAATGGAATAAAAGAATTGTGCAATATTCTCATAGAGTCGAAGAAATGGAATAAAAGAAATGTACAATATTCTAACTCAAGTACGTCATCTTCTGTCATCACATAAACATTGACTCACTTGAGTCATATGCTAAATGTATTGTAGGTTCCCAAGAGGGGAAAAAACTCGGACAGGTATGCTGGAGAACATGACGAATGAAATGATGTCAGATATTCCAATGACGGAGTTTTTCTCTTAGCTTAGCATCATCAGCTCGCTCATTTAGGTAACTTTTAGTGAAAACACCAATCTGCCCAGAGAATCAAAATATTCCGCAAAAATTTTGTATACTTCGACTACCAGCAACAAAAAGTTTGAAAAAGTCTAGGTTTCAAAAACGCTGTGATGAATTTCCGACATTGCTAGTCTTGAGCATTTGCACCTTTTTGAATCAAATTTCCCCTTCACATTCAATTGTGCGGTGCAGTACAAGCCCGTAGAGAGTACTTCTATAAGCAAAAGTATCTTTATTTGGAGTAAAATGATAGATCAAGAGCAAGCAGAAATGTTCTAACAACTATCAAAGAATACGTGGTTGCTGGTGAATCGCGGTAACACAGAATCAGGCATATTTTCCTCACCAAAATACCTTTCCTCAAATAAAATTATTCGAATATGAACTGTCTATGACGATTACCTAAGAGCTAGGAGTTCTGGACCTAGTAAAAGGTGATGGTAGGAAGAAAACAAAAGCAGCCAACTCTCCATGTTCAATTATTTTCAAACACTGGCACTTCAGTGACTTCTATGAATCAATATAATAATACATTAATAAGGAAGCAAACATCCATACACATCAGGAAAATAAAGTAATGAGCGAAGCTCTGAAGCAAATACGTTTTTAAATAGCACTGAACATCATGCCAATATTAACGAGCTTTGTCCCAAAATACGACCTTATCAATTGCAAAAGAATGCACTGAACGATCAGTTATCGCCGGCATGAAATTTACATTTCAGCAAGAAGAAATTGATGGAGAAGAGAAAGTAACATAACATGACGGTGATAGAGAGCAATGCATGAGACAAAACGGCAGCTCCGCGTAATTCCTGAGCAAATATAAACACGTCTCCAAAGCCAAGCAGTGTCAGCTGCAAAATGCACTCACTAGCATGGAAATCTGCTTTGCTGCAAAATTCAGAGAAGTAAAAACATCGACTTTTCTCACAAGATACAGATGCTTCAGGGGAACTTTCTACGAGGCCGCGTGGAGGTATACAAAAATCGTTTACGCTTAAATCAAAAATATCCATAAATAATTTGAAACCATTCGTGAAAACATGACCTACCGTTCAATAAACTGTTGTAGGTCTGAAACTGGTCTAGGCGCGATTCTTCAAGATGATGGTGTTCATAGACATGAATCTGAGTAATGACTGAACATAAAGAGTAGTACAGGTCTTTGAATTCCATAAATAAGGTCATGCACCATTCAAGGTGAAGCAAAAAACTGCAAAAATACATAAATTTTCATGACGTTTTGCTCTATCTTATAGAATGGAGGACACTTATGCCAAGCAAGTGCTCACGATAATTGCGCACGTCCTCTCGACTACAACCTAGCAAATTTAACAACCAATTCCGTGTCCTTGCGTTGAATACAACTATTGCGCATAAACCTTGGCAATGTGCGCTCTGCATTCATTTTTCAAGCACGGGTGGCAAGCAGATTTCGGCATTAACAAGCATAGGAGTTTTCCATATAAAAATCTAGACTCACTTTCAGTTCGTGTACCAAAGACGAATTCTTTGATTTGACAAAAGAAAACAATGAGTGGAACCTTTAGAACATATTTTTAATAGAAGTATTTGCGCTACTAAGAGGTATAGCATTATGTCTTTGTTGGTGAACCAATTAACCAATCCAGAGACCCTTTTCAAGTGAAAAATGGGAAATTATGTTGAGTCAGCACCCAAAACAGGAAGTTCACAGCAAACTCAGCCAGTTGAGAAGCGAAACACTCAAGAAAAGTCTTATTCGAGGCGAAGGAAATGGACCCTCTTAAAACCACCTCTAAAATCGATTCAGCAATGCAGAACTGAGTCAGCAATTTGTCCAACGCCGAAATCTATAGAGGAAACTTTCTCAGCGAGAGAGATGTTTTCATTGAGAAGAGGGAGCACACAGGTAAAAAATGTAAAGAGCACTCGACGTGTGGTCGGCAATAATCGATCGGGCAAGAACTCTTAGTCAGCCATCAATAATAACAGTTGAGTAAATACTTCACTCTTCAAACAAGAAAAAATATTATTCAAAGGTTGAGTTAGTAATGCGACTGAAGATGATAGATGATAGGGATGCAAGCTAACAGATACCAGCAGCCGTATATACGCTGAGAAAATGCAAACGAATTTGAGAGGCTGTTTACGACCATCTGATGATAGTTGTGAACCTGTGGTGGGGTGGACACGAACTTTACACTTTTCAAAATGCTATTACACTAACAGGAAAAAGCATTCGGAACAGATCAGTCTTTGTAAGAGTTAAAGCAAGATGAAAATCATTTGGCTCTTACTACTTTTACTACTGCTGATTTCCAAAGTATAGGAGGAAATCAACACTTCAAGAGATTTAGATAAAGGTCCATATTTTTTACTAGGATCCAGATTCAGGTAAAGTTAGCATACGAAATATTAAGAAAATGGTTGGGCCGACCCTATCTAAAAAGTATGATTTTACATTTTCTTTCTTGATTTGGTCATACTTGAATAAACACGATTAATTCTCCACTAATTTTATTGCGTCTGCAAAAATAGTTATTGCCTCGTAAATTCTGCAAAACTGGCTCAGCAAAATTTCTGCACATTTAATGTTTCCGATCATTGAATGAGTACGCGTAAATCAAACAGTAAACGACCTCGTAAATGGCACATTGTCAACCAATTTTCAGATCACATCAATGCACCAGAACTAGTTCAGCGGCTCCAACACTCCATCAAGCTTCCTTATCGTTCACAAATAGAAAAAAAGGAGCCCGTAAGATAGCAGTAAACGTAGACGAATGTAAATAATCTCGAAAAGAGAGGGAACAAAAAATCGATGTGCACTTTGCCGCATCAAAAAACCAAAGCGGACTCGGCGCGTAAATAAGTCTGTGTTTTGCAGTGCTCAACTCAGCTCTTCAAAGTCCATGCTTAGTTCTTAATATACTTGAGACATAAATGTTCAAGCAGACAAAAACAGTTTGTAGTCGAGAAGCTCCCGACTTTCTCAAGTATAGTTTTTCCGATCTACAATTATAGAAATCTCGTTCTATGAATCATGAGCTTGTCGACATTGTAAAAACATCATATTTACCGTCACATCTATTAGGCTAAGAACTATACAAAAATCTTCACTGCTTCAAAAAAGCAACTCCTTATTTTTTTCTGAAAGGGATGGAAACAGTTGGAAAATGAGTTGATAATTCTAATCCGAAGAGAAAAAAATCGCATTTTCTAATCCAGAAGGAAACCCCAAAAGTGGTATGGATTGTAGG